GGAAAAAGCAATAACAGAATCTGCTATGGAAAAGCTCAAGGTCCTAACTGGAAAATATTGTTGAGGCCAGGGGCACAATTCTGGCTGCACATTAGAATCACTAAGAGAACTTAAAAATAAGTCAAAAGCAGAGCACCTGGCCCTCACCCTAGAGATTTGGGTTTAACTGGCCCTATGAGGCCCCAAGAAAGTTATTTTTTAAAGTTCCCAGGTAGGCCTGGGATTTAGCTCAGTGGTTTTGCCGCCTGCTGTGCAAGCACAAGGACCCGAGTTTGATCCCCAGCACCAAAAAAAAAAAAAGTTCTCAGGTATTTGGTGCGGGGGGGCAGAGATCCATAGCACCAATAGGCAGAGCAGGCACAGTGCCCGGGACCTGGACAATTGACTTATTTTTTTTTGGTACCGGGGATCAAACTCGGGTTCTTGCGCTTGTGCAGCAGGCAGTATGGGATGGGGGACCCTTTTAGATGGAAGAAAATGTATACATAACGGGAACATATTTTTTTCATACCAGTATATGAATAAGGCATCGTGGTTTCATGGAAGAAAGGACCCACAAGGTGAAAATGCCCAGGGCCTATGAAAATCACGGAATCACCCTGCATTAAGGCAGCAAGTGTAAAGGTGCCCATTTGAATATCACTGAAAGTCATCACTGTTCTCATTAAGATAACACGGTGAAGGGTGTCATGGATGTCTGCATTTTAGGTGGGCAATAATGATACTGATGCCAGAGTTCCCCCTCCTCATCCCTCCCTGCTTCCGTGGGCACTTAGTAGCTTGTGTGAGCTGCAGATGACAGCTTTGGAGGTGTGCGAGTGTCTCGTCCTGCACCAGACACCCAGTGCCTGGCTGATGTTTCATTCAGGTCTTTGGACTCTGGTCCCCGAGACTTCCGAGACAGAGTTGATGGGAGGACTCAGACAAAGAAGCATTGGCCCTGAGCTGGAGGCCTGGGGTGACTCTGGTCTCCCCCAGTGTGGGGTCTCTGCCGGCCTCTGATGACCTCACTCCTCACTCAACTCCCGCCTGACCCCTTTGACAGGCAGAGCTCCCCAAGGCTGAGCTGCAAACACTGCCGCCATCATTGTGTCTTCCTTTAAACGCATATCCATGTCTTGGGTCATTTTCATGTCATTGGCACAAACTCTGGAATTTTCATGGGCATGTGGTGGAATATGGAATACGGCTGTCAATTTCCAGGCCTTTGAATTTCACGGAAGCTCTCTCTCTCTCTCTCTCTCTCAGGCTTGAACTCTATGTGTACTTAAAAAGTTTTGCCTAATAAATTCCTTTATGCCTCTTACAGTCAGGTCTTGAAAATTCCTTTTCTGTGATGGAAGTCAGCCGATCTGCAACCTGCCCTGTGGGTGGAGTGAGTTAAGGTTTCTCATCTCTGCTTTGGGGACCTCCTTGGACCCTGTCCAGTGACATTTCCTTTGTTTATGACATTTCCTCCAGTGGGAGGAGGTAAAGACACACTAGGACTACAGCTTTGATTATTAAAGGATGGTGGTTCATCAAACACCAAAACCCATCTTCTTTTGTGTCCTTGAGATCAGTTGGGGTGAGACTTTTGACCCCTGGCCGGGCAGGATCAACACCCGTCCTCGGCCTAAAGGAGTCATAAGAAGACAGACCTTTAGCCCCTCTGCTTCCCTTAAGAATGAGAGATCAAAGTCTCAGGGGGGAGAAATGAGGTAGAAGAAATAAAGACAGTAAGGAGATAAGGAAAATCATAATTTATAAATTATACTTTGAAGAAGACTTCGACTTCAGGATACAAAGTCACCCAAGGTAATCCATGTCTGTATTCCCTAGGGTTGATCAGGCCCACCACACAATCCCTTAAAGGTACTATAAGCCCATAAATTAGTTCACAGGCTAAAGAGCAGACACCTGATATTAAGTCAAAGGAACAGACTGAAAGAGTTCAAAGAATGTTTTTAGGCACCCCTCTTGAAAAAATGGGGCCCTGCCTTTCTCCTTAAAATGGGCCATTATCTTTCTGTGTGTTGGCCATTCTTTTTCCAAGGCACAACTTCCTGTAGATTCGCAAATTCCACAGCTTTCTACCGCCAAAAACACATAAATATTTCCAGCTCCAAACAATACTGTGCCTCTCCCTCTGAAGGGCCTGCACTCTATTTCTTTTGAGTGTGTACTTTTAAAATTCTGCCCAATATATCCTTTTAAGCCTCGTTTAAAAAATGAATTCCATGGAAGGGAACCGGGGGCTGCATGAGTTGGAGGTGTCCGGCCCACAGCAGGCACATTGGATCAGTGCTCAGTTTGGGGCCCTGGTGGTGGTGGGGCCCTGGGAGGTAACTACAGGTGCTGGCTGCCAGAGGAGAGCACACAGGGGAGAATCACACAAACTCTCTGTCTAGAGACTCCTGTGGCAGCCTGAGGTTCTGAGAGCCCCTCAGCCCCAGCAGGGAGATATAGAGGAGAAAGTTACTTTTGCTTTAAAATGAGGAGAGAGAGGTCCTATGATTCTCAAGCAAAGCTCTGATTCGGATAGGCCTGGGTCTCCATCTCTGCTCCTCCGCTTATTTGTGATGTGATCTTAGGCAAATTATGCTGCTTTTCTGAGCTCAGCTCCCTTATCTGCCAAATGCGGCTAAGAACTTCTCTCTGGTGGGCTGAGGATGGGCCTTCATGAGAAAGCACTTACCTACCATGCATACCCTAACTTCTATTCCCAGTATCACAAAACACCTGATGGGGTTCTTCTCAAATCATACATTGACTATGAAATTCCTCAAGTTATCCAAGACATGCTAGATCACTAGCATGTCTAGTTCCTCCTGTGATCACTAGCAGGGCCATGAGCCCAGGGTATCAGCTGTGTAGAGCAGACTGACCCACAGCCTTGCACCTGAGCCAGACCCATTGGAGAGGGTAGAGGTTGCTGCGGTGCCCACAGAGCTGGCGGGAAATCTCACCTCTGCAGCAGTGGGGCAGGTGGTGTCCTGCTGGAGCAGCTCCTCTGTGCCGGCTGGGGTGGGTGGACAGTGCTGAGAGAGCTGCTGGCCTCCTTGTGCTGCAGGAGGCTCCTGCCCCACTGCACATGGCATCCGTCTCAGGAGTGCACTCCAATACTGGCCTCTCCTCTTCCCTGCCTCATCTTCCTGCTCCCTCACTGCTGCTTTTGGGGTCACCTCAGAAATGTAGCACCTGCTTCTGGGCAACCCAAATCAAGGCAGCTTCTTCTTCTTTTTTTTTTTTTTTTTGGTACTGGAGATCGAACTCAGGACCTTGCTCTTTCAAGGCAGGCAGAGGAACCACTGAGCTAAATCCCTGGCCCCTAAGGCAGCTTCTTTCTCACAGCTCCAATCAAAATACCTCTTCCCAGGGCCTGTGCCAGCCCCCTGGGGCTCCCCAAGCACAGTTTCTCCACCTCAACTGCACAAACCATTCACCATTTTCCACCTTGTGTGTCAGGACACATGGACCAGCACCAAGCTCTGCTCTCCAAACTCAGTCTGCAGTGTGCTCCTGGCAAGTGTCTCGGCACGCAGCCTTCCTGCATCTGCGTCACTGCTCACGCCACTCACATCACAGAGGTCTAATGTGTGTTTCATGTTCACAAAATCCGGAGGAGGAAAGGCAGCTTCGCTTTATTCTTCCTCCTGAAAATCCCTCTTCTGGCAAATCGCTGCCATTGACTCGAGCTATCTTCCAGGTTCGGCAACAGCAGTTATGGAGCAAGACTGACACTGAAATAAAAATGAACGAAGAGGGGCTTCTTAAAATTTCAAAAGCTTTGCCTGAAAGTGCTTGCTTTAAACTGAGACTGCTGCCAACGGCAGCATCAGAAGCGATTACCCTGATAAACAGGTCTCCACCCTGTCTCTCTCCTTGCCGCTCCCTTTATTTATGTATTTATTTATTAATGTATTGTATTAGTACATGTTTGTAATTCATGCATCTTACAACCATCTTGGGGAGTGGTTATATGTTACCAACAAAATACCTGTTTGGAAAGAGAAGGGATCAATTGCTGATCGCATGCTTCTCCCACAGTTTGCAGATATTTGCCAAGTTTACATTTTCTACAGGCCCCAGTGCGGGTTTATGTGACCCTGGGCTTTTCGGCCCACAGACTGCCCTCCATGCCCCCCGCTGTCCTTTCCTGCTGGGCTGGTGCCCTCCTCTTTCCAGCTCTCCCGAGGGTCCTCACCCTCCTCTCCTGGCCCTCGGCCCTCACCCTCCACCCAGTGTACCCCCTCTTGAAGAGTCCACCTGCGCTCTTAAACGTGCGGCCTTTTTCCCCCGGCCCTGCCGCCGACCAGCCCTCGCCATTTCCAGCCCTCTCAGCTGTAATCCTCACTGGCCCCAGGCTGCAGGTCTCTGCCCGACTAGGGCCCCAGGGCCGTCGCAGTGTGCGCTGGTGCAGGGTCCCCTGCTCGTCCACGGTTAACCTGAGCCTCTCAGTGAGGTGTCTGATGCCTTCCGGCCCATCCTGCCAGGCTCCTTTTCTGCCAGACCCCCTCATCCCGGCCCGACCCACCCTCCTCGCTGCCTGTGGCCTCCAGAAGATGCTGGGGACCGCGCCACCTCCTTTGGGCTCCGAAGTGGCACTTCCCCCCTTAAGGTCCTGCGCTGCCATTGGAACGACTGAGCTTTCGGTACCAGTTTCATTCCCTGGCAGGGGGCGGGCGTCAGGATCTTCGGGGAACCCCATGGCCCGGCCGGTGGTGCGGACGCCCCGCTCCTCACCCCGCAGCGGAGGAAACTGAGGCTGCGGACGGTGAGGGCTCTGCTCAGGTAGCCTCTAACCTAGCCCTGCCACCACCAGCCCGCGACCTTGGCCAGGTTACCACGCCGGCCCCAGGGTCCGGTGGCCTCCAGGGCGCCGACCGGGAGGTGCCCTGAGAGCGCGGCCGGGCGGGCTGCCCAGGGCCCGGGAGGAGGCGGCCCGGGCCGGGGCGGGGCGCAGCGGGCGGAGGAGGCGGTGCCGGTCCTGCTCCTCCCCGGGGCGGGCTCGGCCTCCCGGCCTCCCGGCCTCCCGGCCTCCGGGCGCCTGCCCAGCTCGGCCAGGCTCCGGGCGCAGCGGGACGGAGCGGGCGGCGGTGAGTGCGGCGCGGCCCTGGAGGGAGGACAGCGCGGTCCCGGGGCGGGGTCCTGGGGCGCCCTCCCTGATGCATGCGGAGCCTCGAGGCCCCGGGTTCCTCGCGGGTCCATGGCTCCGGCCCCTGGCCCTGCGCACCCAGCTTGGACCCCAGAGCCCCGGGCGCCTGGCGCGCGGGACGGGCCTTCTCCCCCCCGGGCTTTCCGGGTCGCCTCACTGTTGGGCCCCAGGCAGGTGCGTGGCTGTCACGCTGCCACTTACGCAGGACTTTGAAACTTCGCACCCCGCGCCCCGAGTGCGCCTCCAGCGCCCAGGACCCGCGCGGAACACACTGCGCTGTCGTTAAGGGGCGCTGGCTCCCAAGCTGGGGTGCACATCTGGAGAGTTTAAAAAATACCCGCGTCTGTGTCCCACCCATGGGGATCCGGACTGAGTTGGACTGGGGAGCAGCCCCGAGGGACTCAGGCACCCACTACTGTTCAGCCGCTCTGTGGGCCTGGCTCGGCCGATCCCGCGCTCACCCGCGGAGCCTGTGGGTCGGGATTTTCCAACCTTAGACACAGGTGGTGCCTTTCTTAAAAACTTCCCTTTGTTTATAGTAAATATTGCCCTGGCAGTTTCTGGCTAGGAGGCAGGAACTAGGCAGCCTTTCCAGAGTCAAGGTTATAGTACAGGATTGTGCGCGAGGGAGAACCAGATGATTTGATTTGTATTTGGAAAGGATCTCAGCTTGAAAGGAGGAAAAACAGGACCGTGTGAGTTCTGGGAGATCCCCCCGCCCCAGGTGGTTTTTGCATAAATGCGGGGAATTTTCCTTCGAGAAGCACAGCTGATGAGATCCTAACGGCTTGCTGGCTGCTATTTGTGTTAATGTGTGCATTTGTGAGGTAAAGTATTCTTGTTGGTGTGATCAAGCCCCGCAGATGTAACAGTGCACATTTCTTGATAGAATAATATCCTGCGAGTTAGGAAATTCATTAGTGCCCTAAGTAGCAGGGCACATCTGAGGCGATGCCTCAGCCACCTGCTGAGGGATCTTGAAAATGAGAGGGAAATGGAGCATACTGTATGTTTGTATTGACTGAGTGTGAGCGTCTACATCTTACTAAGAAAGTGTTTTCTGCGCCTTTGTTATTAACACGACAGTCTCTGGGATCTCGGCGAATTCACTGCCATCCTCCAAGTGTGATGTTTGTGTTGGATTTCTCACCCATATGTCGTTACCTGGCCACAGATGAGTAGATTCAATTTTTTTCTGAGGAGCTGGCCCTGTTTCCTGTATTTCTCTTAGCAGTGGAATGACATCTTTTTAACAGTGCCCTCCAGAGGGGGAGAAAAGTTTGTGTTCATTTCTAGCTCCTAAATGAGTCAAGAAAACATTATTTTGAAAATTAAAAAAAATTATATGTCTCTGCCCATGGTCTTTCTCTTCTCCCTCCCTTCTACTACCATGACCTCTCAGATACTGCTAGAAGTATGACCATGCTGGGGTCATCTTAACACCTCGACTTACTTAATGCCCTGGCCTGGAGATGAGGGTCATGTGGCTTCCAGGGCAGCTCCTGATCCGAATTCTCACCCTTGGGGAAAGACCATATGGAAAGTATTTCCCTGTTGTTGATTTTTTGTTTGTTCATTTTGTTTTATGGACCAGCCAACAAAATGAAGAATGTTATTGAATGGTTTGTGAACTTGTGAATCTTGTCTATGTTTGAATATCGAAAAATATTTATTTGAGGGTGCTCTTGAGCTCTTGCTATCTACAAGTGCACTGGCACAGCAGTACAAGGACCCCCTCCCCGCCAAAGTGCATCTGAATGTGGACCTGAAGAGATTCACTGAACATTTCCCTCTTTGAGGTAATAGTTGTAATATTCTAAACTTATTAGATCCAGGCATGATGGCACATGTTTATAATTCCAATATTTGGGAGACTGAGTCAGAGGATTGCCATGAGTTCAAGGCTAGTCTGTGCTACATAGTGAGTTCAAGGCTAGTCTGAACTACATAGTGAGACTGTCTCAAAACAAAACAGTGATCAAAAGAAAGTAGTAAAGTAAAATATGAAGAAAGAGTTGGTGGAGGGGCTTCTTTACACATTCCCGCTGGCTTGAACCGCTGGTGGTACATGCATGACTGTCCCTTCCAGGGGCATGGGACAGTCCCATTGAGTGCTACAAGCCACCAGATGCATGTATGGCCCTGTCATGAATGTGTTAATTTGGGGATAGATGTATAGTACCCAGAAGAGACCTTTGGTTTGTGTTAAGGATTTACATTAAGATTAGATTTCCCTATTATTGACTTCCTCTTTTGGGGGGTCTTCAAGTTAATTAGCTTGTACTGTTAGGGAGAGAGATGGTTAATGGTTAGCTCTTTCCCCCTGAATCTCATTTATCTAAGAGATGTCATCGACCTTTTCAAAAAGCCCCACTGGCTTGTGCCTTTCCTTTCTTTGCCCGCTCTGGTCCTGGTGTTAAAGGGCAGAGAAATGGCTGAGGGGTTGGCATCAGAGGAGAAAAACAAAGTTCAAGGGAAATTGGAAGTTGGCTAATTTTCCCCGAATGACCAAGCACTTACTTTATTCTGGCATATGACACTGCTGTTATCATGAAACAAGTTAAAATGCAAAAACCCTGAAAGTGAAAAAGAATAAAAGGGAGATGTGATGGGAGTTGTACAAGAGCTGAGTGGCTCACGGCGATTCTGCCTTGGAGCCAGCTGACCATGGACTGAATCCTCTAGAACTGTGAGCCAGATTAAACCAGTCTTCAAATTGTGGATGTCAGGTGTTGTGTCCCAGCCATGGAAAAGCGATGGAAACAGAACCCCTTTATCTTCTTTCCTGATGCACAGTCCCGCATCTCCATCTCTGTACCAATGTCCTTGGCAGAAAGAGTGCTTCTTCTTAAGTTCATACCAGGGATTTTCATTTCATTTCTTTCTTCACTTCTTGAACACATTACCTGCTGAGTTCTTGGTTAGTAGGACAGGGTTCCTACTTGGAAGAGCCTGAGGTGGGGTGGGGCTTGTTAACCATGGGTCGTAAAAAGTTGGGGATCCAAGATGAGCAGACTTACTGGGTACCATGAGTATCTCTAGCCTTACCTGGATAGATTCCTCTTCAGTTGATTGGCACAGCAGGTATCTGAAGCACTTTGCTAGGGTTTGAATTAGAGTTATTTCACTGAGTCCCTACATTAAGTGTAAAGTGACTGATAGTGAGTATTTTTCTAGCTTGAGGGCAGGGAAGGGCAGGCACCCCTCATGCTGAGGGGAGGTGGGGATGGAAGGGGAGGCTGGTTCTAGGCGGGGCATTTTGATCTAGCAGTCTGGTGTACAGGGTCCGAATGGGGCTGGGAAGTGTGCAGGGGGTGTGGCTGGACCCTGTCTGCAGTGTAGCTGACCACATGAGCTTAGTTAGCATGGCTGCCTCTGCAGAGGGGTTTGGTGGCATCTGTGACTCCAGCCCATGGGTGGACATTTGCCCTTGGCCACACCATTGCCATGTGAGCCCAGGTCTCTTTGGGCAGACTGGGAGCTGGGTTTCACCCGGGTTCTCCCTTGGGAAGCGGCTGTCCCTTTGGGTAATCACCCCCGGGTTATGAGAGCAGTTAGGGTTTGTCTGTTGACTGCCTTCCAAGTGCCAGGCTGGAAATGCATGTTCAACACTTTCTTTGCTCTGAAACCTCACGTCCCTGAGAGGCAGGTGGCAGTGACCTTTTACAGACAGAGAAACTGAGGCCCAAAGAGGCACCAGCTCCTGTAGAGGCTCCACAGTGCTTGGAAGTGGGAGAATTGAGGTTGGAGAGTGCTTGGGTGTGTCTGAATCCAAAGCTAAGTGTTTTGCACTCACACTTCCTAAGCAGGTCTGATGAAGAAATTGTGTTTTCAGCTGGGTGTGGTGGTGCATGCCTGTGATCCCAGCACTTGGGAGGCTGAGGCAGGAGGAGTGCCCGGAGTTCGAGGATAGCCTGAGCTACATAGTGTGTCCAAGGGCAGCCTGAACTGCATAGTGACACCCTGTCTCAAAAATAAAAAACCAACAAAACCAAAAAACAAATTCAGTGCTGGGCTTTCTGGAGTACATGAAGCTGTGTACATCCAATTCTTGGGCCTGTAGTGCTGGTGACAAAAACAGAACTTTGCCGCATAGTAATTACCAGTAGCTCTTCAAATCTCAGGGAGCCAGGGCTTCGAGGCCAAGCAGGGCTGTCCTTAGTGAAGGGGAGTTTGGAGCAGGTTGATGACCAGCCGGCACTGCTACAGTGGGTGCACCGGATTTCAGCCACGAAGGGCCAGCTCCAGGAAACATGGCCAGGGCTGAGCAGAGGGTCACCGTGGAGTTAGAATGTGTGGGAACAGAGCCAGGGCTGGGCTGGCAGCCTCTGCCCAGTCTTGGCTTCAGTATAGTATGCGGTGGTTCAGGGCATTGCTTTGTAGGTTTGCCTTCTATAGGGCCTCTTAGTTAGTAATATGCAGTCACCATTGCTTAGCTCTTTGCAGGAAGATTGAGGCAAGAGGATTTTGATTTTCTAGTTTGGACCTCGATAATTCCCTTGGTTTTGTGTCCTGTGCTTTGTTGCCTGTGAAACAGGCCCTCTCCTTACCTTTGCAAGTGTATAGTCCCTATAAGAGGAAGATCTTCTGTAACTGTGACTCCTCTCAGGAGTCCTGTGTCCAAGCACCTGATGGTTCATCCCATTTTCCAGGGCAGCCTGGGACTCAGGTATGGAGTGGAGCTTTAGGATTGCAGCCCAGGCTTCAGACTCTCAGCATCTGGGCCATTCTGACTGGACTGCAAAGGTGTTATGGCCCTCAGAGCCTCCTGCTGTCACAGGTGGGGCTTTTTCAGAGGTGGCTGGATCTAGAGTGTGTGAGGCTGGGACTGATTCATGGTTCGGTGCTAGGCTCAAGGGTGTTAGGATTAATGGCTGTGAGTGCTGCCTGCCCTAAGTAGCCGATATAAGGGATAAGATAAGATATAAGGGTTAGAAAGAG